GTGAACATCTCAACATTTGAAAGGAGAAGTAACTGGAGGGTGAATTGCTACTGGCTACTGGCTGTGAGGCAATCCCAGCCACGAGGCATGTTGCAGTGATTGACCTCAGAGCCTGGGATGGAAATGGATCCATCAGCTGACTCAGTCTAGGCAAAACATGTCCATTCAGCTCAGCATGGCTGAGCATGTGAACTGCAAAGAGGCCAGAAGTAGCCACAGAAAGGGTCAAAGAGAGCCTGGCCAGGCCAGGCTTGGGGATAGATTACTACTGGAATATCTAGCTGCCAGGTTTTTGCTGGTGAAATGGCGATGGTCAGAGAGCGATCCTTTGAGCAAGGCCTGAGGAGAAGGAGGAGGAAGGTCAGCACTGAAAAGGTAGACTTGGGAAAGGAAGACTCCAGAGCTTTGGGAAAGGATGTGGTGAAATTCTAGGGCCTGGCAAGGCAACTGTAGGGATTTAGGACCTAATCCAAAGGCCACAGTATTTCCATTGGCAGTACTGGGTTTCGGATCAGGACTTTAGGGCACAACCTAAGGCCAGGGCAACTTTGGGAGCAGATGAGAGAGAAGATCACCACCATCTGCCAGAGGAGAGTTCTCCAGAGTGCAGGAGGGTGCCAGCTAAATCCTGCCTCGGGTGCCATGGGCCCATAACATGCTGCATCATCTGCTGCGTGCGCATGCCATGCACTGGGCTGGCATCGTTTTGAAAGCATGCGTTGTGTCCTTTGCTGTTTACAGAACAAGAACAATGTGACGAGCCCACAGGGGCACAGTTAGGCCCCACATCACCATACACAAGCGTGCCAGGCCTAGCGATAGGCATATTGCCTTTCTGATTGGTTTCCGTTCGCTTCTAAACGATAGAATACAGTGCGCTCCAGTAGACAGCTCACAAACTATTTAAGGAGTTGCTACCCGGTTCCTATACAGCATAGCATGGCCGTGTAACAAGGAGCAAGGACACGCCTTCGATCTGCATGGACAAGGGGTAAACTCCAGGTAAGCTGCCCCCCCTACCCTTGTTGCCCAGTGCTCAGGGCTATACAAGCGTTTGATTGGGAGGGTGCCAGACTCTGTAGGACTGGATTGAATCCCACACCGAGTAATTTCCCTGTTCTATCTAATCTTTAATGTATTTTATTTACCCTTGTAATGCCTGGGAGGTGGGACGGTGCTATCACCCCATTGCACAGATGTGGAATGGAGGCACAGAGAAACTTTGCAAGTTCCCCAAGGTCACACAGAGAGTCTGAGGGACAGCCTGGAATTGAACCCAAGTCCCAGCCTAGCACCCTAGCCCTTGGAACACCCTTCCTCTCTATCGTTGCCCGGGCTCTCCTCAGTCCTTCTTGGCTTATTTTAACTCTTTTCGATTTCTTGTTGTTCGAGGGGAAAAAGAAAAATCACCTGTCTGAGTCTGTTTCTTTTTTTCTGTTGAGTCATACGACAGTCACGCTGGCTGTGAAATTGCTGAACTGCCTGGGCCAAGTAGTAGTACCCCTTTATGGGGAACTGATCTGTGTGTGTAAAAAAGCAGAGCACGTGCCTTTCGGTAGAGTCAGTGCTTGTAAAAGAGACTTTCAGCTTGGTTTGCAGCATGGTTAGGCCAGTGCTAGGCTAGGAAAAACTGGACCGGTAATTCCCCACTTCTGGGAGCGGTAGAACAGGCAAGATCCGGTGTTTTATCGCTGTGCTGTCTGCCCCAACCTTGACTCCACTCCTCAGGATGAAGAGAAGGATCTCCAGTCAGACAGGCCCCAAAACTGTGCTTTTTGGGGTGGGAAAACCCTTCACGAGGAGCCTGATCCAAAGCCCATTGGCATCAATGGAAAGTCTTTCATTGACATCAATGGCTTTGGATCAGGCCTTTTATGGGATGCCTGCTAGAATGAGGGACGGGGATTTTTGTCTCTTCCTTTGAAGCACCAGGGGCTGGCCACGTGCTGGGTAATAACATGAGAGCAATCCAGGTTTCTAAAACTAAACTGGCTCTTCGTTAAGAGAACGAGTTACAGAGGTGGTGCAACTACAGCTAGCATTCCAGCCATGTACACACAGACTGGCTTCCTGGTAACTCTTCCCTCCAGGTTCCATGCAGGTTGCTCAATCCACTGTCAGAGGCACAATACTGGACTAGATGGGCCACAGGCCTGATCCAGTCTGGGAATGCCCAAAGTATCTGCAAGAGTCACTTGCAAGCAGTGAACTTCTCCTGCCACACACCTGTGCTTTCCCCAAATTTAACAAAGAGTATAGGGTGCCCTCCCCCGGCCTGTGCATGACTCATTGTGCTGCTGCTATAGCCAGGAGACAGCTCCCACACCCGCCCACATAGCACAAGACGGCTAGAAAACCAAATCCAAACACTGGTTTCAACAAGGAAGTGTCAAGAGTCAGCAGAAATAGAAAAAGGCAGCATGTACAGAAGTGGCTCCAGGTTACAGGGCCCCTGCATGAATTCAGATGGGAGGGCCCGTAGGCAGACCTCAGTAGCAAAGCTAGACCATGTGGGGAAATGCTGGTCCTTAAGGGACATAAGCGATCAATTGCCAGCCAGGTAGGGCATAAGGGAGACCTGGGGAGAGTGGTTTCCCTAGGTTCATCTTCCTGGATGTGGGCGGTTGGGATAGGTAGTTGCTCAGAGACAGGACTCTCCATAGCCCAGTACCCTGTCTGACACACCTGGCAAATGCCACAGGCTTGTCCCAGCATGCAGAATGATAAAGAACAAACACCTTTAGTATTACATGCCTTAGGCACTCCCTCCTCCAGGAAACACCCATCTCTTGGTGGAGCCTGTGTTGGCCACCTCAGTGTTTGCTCTCAGATTGGATCAGACATGCCCTGAAGAAGTTCTCTAGTGTACAGCTCACCCAGCAAGGCGTTCTCCAGGAGCAGCCACTTGTAGTTCAGATCAGAATCACCGTCCGTCCTTATGCACACTCGGATTGTAGCTGGGCTCAGGGAAAGATTCCACCCATGCAGCAGTGTGGCATACAGTTAGGTGCCCCAAGAGGGAAGGGACTTGCATCTCTGGGAAGCATCATTCTTTAGGAGATACCGAACTAGATAGATCATTGGTCTGTTCCACCATAACGGCTCCTGTTTGCCGACATCAGAAGTCATGCCTATGGGATACTCATATTTTCCTCTGGACGTGACTATAGTTCAGGTTACTGGGAGTATCACAGAATTGGAGGCTGAATTCTCTCCTTTTTAACCGTTTGTGCTAATGTAAATAGCCTGACATCCCTAGTGACTGACTCCTCTATTGGAGGCAGAATTTCTAGTGGATGGAGTACTGGATGTGGAGTCCGGAGAGCTGAGTTCTATTCCCTGCTGTGTGACTTCCCTTCTCTGTGCCTCAATTTCCCCATCTGCAAAAAGGAGTTAATGCAGGGTGCTTTGCGATCCAGAGAGCCGGGACAGCACAGCACAGACAGCCCTACACCTTGACTTACCAATATGCCTCAAACCTGCTCTGAAGAGCAGTGCAGTCTCTGCACCTGTTCAACCCTTGGCCTCTCTGCTGAGGTTGCCAGCAGAGTGGAAAGAGTGATGTAGACAGCAGTGCACCAGGAAATGGACTGAGGCCAGGCCCACACTACAAACTTCTGCCAGAATAGCTATGTCACGTCACGGTGTGACCTCTGACCAGGAGCGGCGCCAGGGTTTTTGCTGCCTTAGGCAGCAGTTCTCCTCCTCTGAGCATTCAGCGGTGGGGGTCCTTCCGCTCCGCGTCTTCGGGGTACTTCAGCGGCAGGTCCCGGAGCGAGTGAAGGACCCGCTTTTATAATGGAGATATCCATCTCCTAGAACTGGAAGGGACCTTGAAAGGTCATCGAGTCCAGCCCCCTGCCTTCACTAGCAGGACCAAGTACTGATTTTGCCCCAGATCCCTAAGTGGCCCCCTCAAGGATTGAACTCACAACCCTGGGTTTAGCATGCCAATGCTCAAACCACTGAGCTATCCCTCCCCGCTGCCGAATTTCTGCCGAAGACCCAGAGCGGAAGGACCCCCCCCCCCGCCGAATTTCTGCCGAGGGCGGCAAAATGCCGCCCCCCAAATCCTGCCGCCCTAGCCGACCGCCTAGGGTCGCCTAGTGGAAGCGCTGGCCCTGCCTCTGACCGACATAGGTGTGCCGACAAGGGTCACTACTATAGATGGGGTTATACCAGCGAAAGCGCAGTTTTGCTGGTATGAGCTGCATCAACACTAGGAGTGCTTTGCTGGTGTAATAGATCAGTACAGCTCTACCAGCAAAATGTTCCTAGTGTAGACACAGCCTCCAACTCACCTGATAGCCATCAGATGGTAACAACTCTCTTACCAACCTGGGCTGGCTCACTTGGCCTTATCGGTACAGGCGGAGCCCAGGCCAGGGAGTTGACTCTGCAGGACTCAGGTGGCAATGGCAACGTAATCTGATGTTTTGTTTTGTTTTCAGCACTGAATAATCTCACAACGAACCTGGCAAGGGCAGCAGAGAAGATGCGCTGGGTGCCCCTGAGCAGCAGGATGAGTTAGAAAACAATTAGGAAAAGTCCAACCTTATTTCCTCCATCAAACTCCCAGTGTTCAGAGCACCATGCCCTGTGAGTACAGAGGCAATGCGGAGAGGATTTGCGTCCACAAAGACAGCAAGGTTTTAAAAATGAAGTACCCATCAAAGTGGAGCTAAAATAGGAGGTTTGTCTGCAGATATGGTAGCAGGCATTCATCCAGGGCTGTAAAGTGCTGGGCAGTTAATTGCTTCCTAACTCTTTCAGTGGCCAGGCAATTCACTTTAAACTTTAGTTCCTCCTTCACGCAGATGTACCCTGTTCAAATCTCTGCGTGCAGGAAATTCCTTCAGAGGCACAAAATCTGATTATCTCAACCCCTTTTCGCTGATGTCATTTCTGGACTGCCTCTTTAGCAACCTTCCCCCTGACTCTGACTGCTGGCAAAAAAAGCAGGGGAGAGAAAGGGAAAGAGAAATATACGCTCAGACAATCTAACAGTTCTCGGAGACTCCTCTCACTTGACTCTTTCCTCCTCAGGAAGCCAAGTAAAGGGAAGAAAGCAAGAGCTTCTGCAAGCACCGAGGGCTAGAGCCGATGGCCTCTGGTTGCCACTAGAATCCTTTCAGGCTGGAGGAGGAGATCACAGGATGAATGCCACAGTCAGTAAGTGTCTTTTGTTTGCCCCCTTTGTTTGCTGTTGTGAAATTCCCACAAGTGGTGGTTTGGATTGAGCTTGTAGGAAAGCCGGTGGGATCTGATAAGTAACAGCCTGCTCTCTTGAACGGGCAAATCAGGTTTTGCAAACTCCTTTTTGAATTAATAGACAAACAAAGGTTTCCAGATATGGCAAAACAACTGGTGACTTTTGGATTTCTAGACACGGGCCAGCACCAAGAGACTGCAGTGATGGGTGGGTACTCCCTGAATGATTAGAGAGATTGTGGCTCTCTCGACAGAAGGCTCAGCAGTATACAGATCCCTGCATAGAGGTCAGGCTACACTGTATAGAGGGGTCTGGGCAGAGTCAAACCTGTGCCCTTTTCAGAAGTCTGTAAAGTAGAGCAGCTTTAGACAACACATCACGGAAAAAGAATGTATGGGTTGGACGCTGTCACTAAACCTTAAGCACTGCACAGCCTGAGAAACAGATGGTAATGTCTCCGGGCAACTAGTTTGTCCCATATCGAGAAATGGACTTGGCTGACCCAGAGGCAATTCTTGGCATCAGACACAGAGGTGGCTACCTAATTAGGCACTGCCTTTCAGGGCAGCACCCAGACTGTGGGAGGAGTGTGGCTGCAAGAAGAGGGCGGCCAGTCAGAAGGAATCCACAGTCCAGAGAGTGGACTGCCAGCTGGCTAGAGGACAAGAGGCTCGCTCGAGCAAGGAATGAGGAGAATAGAGGGGAAGCCAAGCGGAGGCAGGGTGGAGAGATGGGAAGTGATCTGGACAAAGGATAGCTCAGACAGACTTTCATTGGTGGCAGGTGCTTGGTGCTGTGGGATCTTTCACAATGTGTCCTAACCCTTGTGCGGAGCAACAGATTGTGGCTGCCTCACAGCATGGAAGCTGGGCATGCTCCTAATTACCTCAGGCATTGCTTAAGGAAGGCAGTCCTGGATGAGGCTCCCTCGCTAGAGCCCTGTCTCAATGGGCAAAAAAGGAGTAGCATGTTCCTAGCCAAATTAGTTGGCCATGTTGGAGCCTCGTTTCCCTGTAGGCTACAGCATGGCCAGCTCACAAGTCTTTCAGACATGCTGGTTTGCATCTCTTCAAGCCTGTTAGGCTAACTCAGTTGAGCTAATACATTGAGACAGGTCTTAGGGACAGGGGTAGAAGGCTAGCTCCATCTTTGCCCTATCTCAGACTAGAGAGAGGGGTGAAAGCCTCCTTCGGTAGCTTACCCCACCCTGGACTGTGATCTGAGCTCAACATGAGTAAGAGCACTACAGCAGTTTGCAAGCGTAGAGGTAGGGTGGGTTGGAGACAGGAGGAGGGAATGACATGTCCGGAGCGGGATCAGAGCAATCCTAGTTAATCCCAGTTAAATCAGGGGACCTGATTCTGCTCTCAGTCCAGCAGGTGTAAACAGGAGTAGCTCCAGTAAGGTCACTGGTGGTACACAGAGGTGAAACCAAGATCAGAGAGGAGACCTCCGCAGTCTGGGCTTGTAGCCATCTGAAGGGTTAATGGAGACCTCGATTTCTGAAAGACTCATTCATATTGCAGCTGTGCTGCATGAATCCTGCTGCTCCCTTGTGTAAATGCAGAGGCCCTGGACTGAACATTACTCATCTCAGACTTATCTGTGGTGCTACCTAGCGCATGCAGACTAGTGCAGCTCTGTGACTGTTTGTGAGCCCAGCCATTCCCCTAGCCAGCCTGAGCCATAGGTGCAGGAAGCAGCGGTACTGGGGGTGCTGCAGCACCCCCAGGTTTTGTGCCCGGCATCCCGGCCGCTGGCCCCATGCCCCCGCTGCCCAGGGTATCTGACACCGGCCCCGTGCCCCTGCCGCCCAGGGTCCTGGCCACCAGGCCCGCTGCTGCCTGGGGACTCTGCTGTTGGACCCGGATCCTGCTCAGCTGCCAGCCCCGGGTGCTCGGCTGCTGGCCCCCGCATGCGGGATCCTGGCTAGCTGCTGGACCCAGGTCCCAGCCACTGGGTCCACATGTGGGGTCCCGGCTGCCAGCCCCAGCTCTAGGGGGCGGTGAGGGGTGCGGACAGGGCAAAGCGGGGGGGGTGCAGCTCAGCACCTCCACTCCAAAAACTGTTCCAGCGCCACTGGCCTGAGCCTCTCCATGAAAAACATAAAGAGCTTCCTTTACAAAGCATGGCCTTGATTTGTGCCCAGGCACTTCTGCATGCTCCCAAACACAGACACCCATCAGCCCAACAGGAAACCCTATCACCTGCATGTGGAAGTGATAACATTGGGGGATTAGTGCTGAAGAGTGTGCATCAATGTGTTCCTCCTCACAGACACACTAGATTATCAGAAATGCTCAGCTCCCAGCAGCTCCCTTCCGGGTCCTGAGCACGCTTGAAAATCTGATCAAGGGAGGCAAGGTACAGGCCCCTTTGAACATTAAACCCCAAAGGGAAACTGTTAATGAGAGGAGGGGAAAATGCTTAGTGTTCATTCCTGCTACTTTGGGATGCACAAGGCCATCATCACATGTGTTTATACTTTCTCCAAAGAGTTATTTTTTCTGAATAGACTTTCATGACATTAGTTACTATCAGCTCCCTGTTTTTTGCTGGAGGACTCTTTGGAAGGCTGGAGTGGGACAGCAACATCACACTAAGCTGAAACCTGAGAGCGGATTGCCCAGCCTTTAGCTGCAGGGGAGGGGAGTCTGGGGATGCATCCACACCTACCTTATTGTAAAATACCTCATTCTGATTTTTGAGTTGATCTGCTTCCAAAGCGAATTAGTTGATGCAGAATGAGATGCCAGATAATTTGTCAAAAAAAAAACAACAAAAACCTTGTGTATGGATGCAAGGCAGTTTATCAGAAAACACCAAGTTAAATCCAAAATAACTTTCAAGAAGCCCTAAATCTTTGATGGTGCCGTTATGGCAGGTAGACATGCCAGCTGGAAACATGCCACCACCAGAAGATACCTGAGGGATCTACCTGTTCATTTTACACACGCTCCACTCTAGCCACCCGTTGATCCAATACACAACAGGTTTGGGGAGTGGTTAGTTTAGCGGGTGCATTTAGAGTCAACAAAGCCAAATAAAACCATGCTAGTGCAAGAGGACATCCTATCAGATACACAGGTTATTTGCAGATGCCAGAACCGTGCTGTCTGAAAGCTGTAACCTACCCACGGGGACTCTGTCACTGATGGCCATAACTTGATAGGGATGCTAGCAGCAAGACTTTGAGTGATTTCACTTTCTCACACCGGGATGGCTGAGTGTATTGTACTGGGACTGGGTTTGTACTGGTGATGGCAGACTCCTTCAGGGGTAGTGAGATCAGCAGTTCAAAAGTTTTACATCCATCCGCCACACTTCCTAATAAGGGTTAGTCCAGGCTACTGGGCAGTGATTTCCATCAGGTCTTATTTTTATCCAAGGCTGGGTCTACACTACAGCCGGGGTCCGACCTAAGATACGCAACTTCAGCTACGTGAATACCGTAGCTGAAGTTGCGTATTTTAGGTCGGCTTACCTGGCTGTGAGGACGGCGGCAAGTCGACCGTTGCCGCGCTGCCGCCGACTCCGCTGCCGCCTCTTGTCGAGGTGGATTTCCGGAGTCGACGGCAGAGCGATCAGGGATCGATTTTACCGCGTCTTCACTAGACGCGGTAAGTCGATCCCCGATAGACCGATTGCTACCCGCCGGATCGGCGGGTAGTGAAGACGTAGCCCAAGCCAGCTCAGCTGTCTCTCTCCACGATCCGTGCTGATCCTTTCCCAGATGCCTGTTATCCAGGAATTAATCTCTGCCTTACTCTCACACTTCCTGGCCCAAAACCAATTATCAGCTGTCGAGGAGAAAATCCCCACCCCCTCTTATGCACCTGGTCAACTGTGCAATACCAGGAAATGGGTGAGGGGAGATTAGCCTTCAATGGGAAGGCAAAAAAACCCAAAAAGCCCGATGTACCAAAAGATGCTAGACCATCGGTGTGTCCCAGTCTGATCAGTCACATGTATCTACATATGCCTTTCTTATACTTGGCTCAAGCTCTAACTCTCCTTTGCATAGCTTCACTCCCAAGCCTCTCTTTTCCTTTCCAAGCTGCCTGGTTTGTTGCTTGTCCCAAGCTATTGCAGAGCAGTGCAGAATAGGGTTGCCAGCCCTCCCATGATTTCCTGGAGTCTCCAGGAATTAAAGATTAATCTTTAATGAAAGATGGTCATGTTATGAAGCCTCCAGGAACACAGCCAACCGAAATCGGCAACCCTAATGCAGAACGAGGGCAGAAGTTGCTTCTAGGGGACTGGGCTAGTAAGTTCTGTAGTTTTGCAGCAGTAGCTGTAGAGTCAAGATATTAAGGTGCATCATTCCAAGCACTTAGCACAGGAGATGGGCCTGACCAAGGACCTATCAGAACCCTTCAACTCTGAGGGTTTGGAATCTGAAACCCAATCCAAAATGTGCAGATAGCCCCTATCTCTGAAACAGGCTGAATCCTGTGTCTGAGAACTCTTGTGCTTTGGAGAAGGTGAAAGCTGAACCAGAGCCCAGGTCGGCGTGGCAGTAATACTTTGGTATCTAGCTCTGCTAACGGAACTGTGAACGGAGATGTTTCTCAAACAATGTTTTTCTCCGCTTCAGTACTGCTCCCTGATGCCCTTCTCTGCACTGTGTAATGGTGAATCCTTCTGCTGGCCAAGAATAGAATGAGTCACCCCGGAATGGAAGAATGATGAATCACCGCACGGTTAGGTTTGTGGACTGGGTTCTTTACCGCTGCCTTGCTCTCAGGAATAGCAGGAGTCTCAAATGGAACTTAGGGCTGGTCTCCCAAGTCAGTGCTTCATGCAGTCTCATTTAAAAGTCAGCCAGGAAAGATTAGCTAGCAGTGATACGTGCCCTTTTAACAAATACTTTGTGGCCCAGCCTCCTCTGATGTTTGGCTCAGCTGTGTGGGAGGGACCCAGGTTTCAGGGTGGTAATGAAAGCCACAGCCAGGGAAGTTTTGTGTAAGTTTCTTACAGCCATTTTATTATGATGATTATTAAACTACTATTGGAGTAGAACCTAAGGACCTCACACAGGGAGCAGGGCCTCATTGCGCTAGGTGCTGTACAAGCAAACAGTAAGAACGTCCCGGCCCTTGACAGCTCACGCTCTAGCATTAGACAATATTCAGCAGAAGAATGAGCAGACAAGAGAGAAGGGATAGAGGTCAGAAGAGGGTGAGGTAAAAAGGTAGCAGTGAAGATAGGGTGTAGTTGCGGTGGTCTCAGTGGTGTCAGTCTCCAGGCTGTGACATCAGGTGTAAAACAGTCCCTCAGCCTTGGCCCCAGAGGCCTCTCTTTATAGGATCAGTCTAAATTGCGCCTGACATCACCAGCACCATAAGGATAAAATAGCGCCCAGAGCTCCAGGCAACACCCATTTGGGATGTGGAAACAGAAGCGCAGTTTGGACAGTGGCAGCGATAAAGTCAGTGAGGGAAACACGAGCTGAGTAACGCTGGCTCCTGCACACAGCACAAACACTGACAGGTTTGTTGGATGCCGGTCCCACTCACAATAGGCTCCTTGTGGCAGGCACTGTCAGTCTGTGAGGGCTTGTGCGCTGCCTGCCTCCAGCCCCTTCTCCTTTTGTTGCAGTGGAAAGCACAGCACAATGGGGGGTTTGCTAGTGAGGGGGACAAGAGACAAATGCAGACGCTCAGCGTTTCAGGGGCCTAGAAGTGGAGCCCATTTAACCAAGCTACAAACAGTGATGGTTAAAGCTCTAAGGTTCCGGAGCACCCATAACAAATGCAAAGCCCCATTCCAAGCTCTCCTGACACGCCAGGCAGCCTCTGAGGAGAAGCTGAATCGGGCGCAGGTAGGGATAGCAATGGGAAGATTTCCTGATGGGCAAAATTCAGCTCCGTGCGGAGGCCCAGCACAAGGCCTTAGCTGCCATTTATGCAAAGCAGCTGTCACAGAGAGTCTCACTTGCTATCTGAGCAAGAAGCAGTTCCCGAAGGGTGGGGGAGTTCCCGAAGGGTGGCACCGGGAGAGCAATTGTAATACACAAGCCACAAGGGCATGGGGGGGGGGGGGGGGCGCAACAGGGGGGTGTTGTGTCCCCTTCCCCCAAACCACAGGCAGGTGTGGAATTTCCCTCCCCCCCCCCGTTGGCCTGACTAATGCTGCCCCCCAAAATCACGCCTATGCACAACATTACGAGGTACCTTCCTGCCATCCTGGATGTGCTGGCAGAAAAGGATTCAGGCAGTGGAGGGCACTGTCATTCCTGGGTCAGTATCCAGCCAGAGTGCTCAGAGCACAGAAAAATGAAGTGACATGCTGAGGGCTGAGAGGATCTGGCTCACCAGGGAGCCTGGCTGCAGGGAAAGGTCCGGCAGCCTAAGAGCTGGGGCTGGTAAGCGAAGGGACAGTGTGGAGCCAGCCTAGTTGCTGGATGCTGGCCAGTGGCCGCTGTAGCCGGACACAGCACAGTGAATGACATGTGACAGCAGGAGGGCAGTGCAAATATGCCCCGCTGAGATCATAGACAAAAGGATTCAGGCTGGGGGCAGTCTGCAGGATAGGGTTCCTGGCCCCTGGGAGAGGAGTGGGTGGAGTATCCCTGGCACGAGGAGCCCCATGGGATGCAGTGCCCCTGCCCTGAACTGGCCCCTAGGTGCTGAGTTAGGAATTGCTGGGTTGATCTTTTATTGTAATTGTTAAAGTCATTGTGGGGAGGGTATTTGCACCTTTAAGCAGCCCTGGAAAAAGAATGTGCTGTTATTCAAGGTGTATGAGTGCTACAGGGCCCCACCAAGGGCTGGAGCCTGGCCAGCCCAGCACTTGGAGCATCTGCTCTGCCTGCCTTTGAGCACGTGGTATGCACAACAGGCTACCCGGTGTGATTTCCAAAAATACATCACTTCCCATTCAGGCGTCTAAATAAAGGCCAGATAGTCACAGATAAACTCTGGCCCCCACTGTGGGCGCTGACCTCTTTTGAAAATTTCCATCCTGGAGGCGGCTCTGTAACCACAGCACTCTCAGTGACACGCAGCAATAGGGCTGGTTACCATACGGCCTTGGATTAAGTGGCGCCGAGGGCTGGTGGTGAATTTCCCTCCTCTGCATGTGTCTCGTGGTAGCTGGGATGTGAAATCTAGTCTAGTCATTGTCTCTCGTTCCATCCTCTAGGCCCCCTTCATGAATTCCAGCAAGAACGTGGATTTGAAGATAATTATCATAGGAGCACTGGGGTAAGCAGAATCCTTCCTACTGGAGTCCAACAGTCCTGAGGGTTTGTTCTCATGAAGGCTAAATGAGTCCCACTCTAAGTCCCCTTTACACTGCTAGAATGATGTAGGTTGGCCTTAATGTAAATGAGAAAGTGGGACTTTATCTTCAATGGCTAAGGTTCTCCAATTTACTTTTCATATATTTATAATCATCTCTAAGCTGCTGTGGAACACAGGGGAAATTAACAGCATTAAAAATAATCCATTAAAACATTAAGCCCTTAAATGTAGAGGTTCAAACTCCAATCTTCCTGTACTTACAGTATGGCACCCACCCACAAACCAAACTAGTTCACAGATCAGTTCGAAGCCTGGCTACATACAGGTTTCACACATCTAAGATGCATCCAAGACCAAGGCTAATTTCAGAGCATACTAGCGCAGATGAAAATGGTAAGGCTGAGTGGTTGGAGTTTGGTTCCCATCATGGAGTCAATATCCCATTAATAACAGGGTGTGGGAATCTGTGACTCTCCGGTCTTATTCTGTGCACCTGATTCTATAGTGCAACTCAGAAGTCCTGAGGCTAATGCATGTCCCTTTGTGTGCCTCTTCCTTTGTCCCAGGGTGGGGAAAACCTCCCTCCTGCACCAGTTCGTGCACAAGACATTCCATGAAGATTATCGGACTACTCTGGGAGCCAGTATCCTATCTAAGCACATCATGGTGGACAACACCCCCCTAAAACTGCAGGTGAGGCACTTCCCTGTTTGGTCTCTGGCATCTATCCACTCAGAAGAAGCCTGTCTTTTGACCTGGTGTGTGTGCACAGCGCCAGGCGATGTCCATTTAACAGAGGCCGGTGCACAAATAAGGGATCATTCAGGACCTGCTCCTGCTCCCTTTGAAATCAACAGTAACATTTTAACTGTTGCAGGCTTGTGCCTGCTGTTCAGTGGTCCTGAGCACCCATGGATTCTGCTGAAGTCAAGAGGAGCTGCAGGTGCTCAGCACCTGTGGAAACCAGGCCCTTGATAGCTAAATGGTGTACAGAGCAGCAGATAGTCTAAGGTCACAGTCAGCAGGTCACCACCTCCAGAACATGGAGGGATGGGGGGGAAGGGCTCTGCAGCAGCCCTGCCTCAGTTTCCCCTTCTCAGGACTCCTCAGTAAATGCCACAGCCTGATTTGGCCGCTGCAGTGCCTCGGCCCTTCACAAAAGCCCACTCCTTCTGGGGAAACAGAACTTAAAAACAAACAGAACACAAAGTCTTTACCCTAATCTTAAACTGGGCCCAGCCTTTCTTTCCCAAGGGATTGGTCTTCTCCCCTCTCATTCTTCTGCCCGCTCCTTTCCATCTCATCCCCACGCTGCTCTTCCCCAGACAGGCACCCCCAGTCCTTCCTGCCTGGAGTCTTCCCAGGCCTCTGCCTATCTTATGCTCTAGCTCCTTGCAGCCATCTGCACTTCCCTTTTCTCCTCAGGCCTCTGAGGTAAATAAGGTAGAAGCCTGTTTGAGTCACATGACCTGCTTCATTTCCCCCACCTGGGGAGGAGAGTTGGCTGTGTCACAGGTGGGGCTGAAGCCCATCACCCTTTAAAGGGCCAGTTACCCCATAACAGTCAATTAATGTTGTGCGTTCCTGCCCTTCTCCCCCATTAGATCTGGGACACCGGGGGTCAGGAGCGGTTCCGGTCCATGGTGTCGACGTTCTATAAGGGCTCGGATGGCTGTATGCTGGCCTTCGACGTCACAGACCTGGAGTCCTTCGAGTCCTTGGATGATTGGAGAGAGGACTTCCTGGAGAAGATAATCCCCACAGAGCAGGGCTTCCCCCTGGTGGTGCTGGGAAATAAAATCGACTTAAATGAACGGCAGGTAAGGAGGGAGCTTGGTCCCAGTTAAGGGCTCAGAAGAATCAGCCATGGAGGGTGGGAGGGGTAGGGCTAGATTTCTATGACTAAATTTCATAGCGTTCTGGTGGTGCTTCCGGGTCAGGGTTGGAGCACACTGGGGAAACTCGCCCGCCTTCTGCCTGTCCAGCTTCTGGGAATGACACAGGACTCCAGCTTCCTGTCAATCACACACCGTTCACCAGCAGCAAATTCAATTAAAAATTTATAACCCACCACAAGCCCCACTTGAAGCCTAAATTCCCAGAAGTGGCTAATGCTGTTGGGTGCCCAACTGTAGATGCCTTAAAGGAGTCTGATCTCCAAAAAGGGCTGAGCTCCCACCCTCTGAAAATCAGGCCCCTTCTGTGTGTTTCCGGTTGGGCTTCCCAAAATTAAGGCACCTGGAACAAGTGGTTCCCTTTAGAAGCTATAGGGTTTACTTACTATAGCTGGAGTATTTAGTCTGGCACAGGCCGGGTTTACAATTCACCAACAAACCAGAAATTCCTGTCTGGAAGCGAGGGAAGGGAAATCATTATTAATAATTAATAAAACCCCTCAGCGGTAGCTCAACAGTTAGATTCCAGAAGATTCCCTCCCCAGAAGGCTGAAAGAAATCTCCTTCACTTAATGCCCCACCAAGCCCTCCTGTGACCTTGCTGAAGGAGGGACATGCTCCAGCCCAGGCTCTTTAAGAAGATCAGTGTCCTCGAAGAGCAATGAGCCAAATGTTCTGCTACCGAGCACTGTGTGCCTGACGGTACAATGCTCCGCACCTGTCAGCACTTGGCCCTGTAGTCAAGAGACCACGCTGAGTTGCCAGCATGCACTGAGAGCCTCATTCTGAAACCACGCTGGAGGCTCCCGTTGGCTTCAATGGGCATTGAGTGCGCTCCACACCATCCCAACATTTGCTCTCAGTGGCTGTAGAATGAAAAGCCCAAGGAGAAGCCCAGGGGTCTCTGAGCATATGGCTACCATCAGGAGCGGCGAATACCCCACGCACTGGACTTGGTCACATCCTTAAGGGCTGCAAATGAATAACATGACCACATCCCTCTCTCTTCTCCCAGGTGTCCAAGGAGACAGCTTCATTCTGGTGCAAAGAAAAGGACATCCCGTATTTTGAAGTCAGTGCCAAGAACGATATCAACGTAGTGCAGGCCTTTGAGACGCTCGCAAGGCAGGCCCTGTCGAGGGTGAGTAGCGGTGCTGGCCATGTGCCCTTGTGAGCTCTAGAGCCCTGATGTGGGACTTGAGAGACCTGGGTTCTGTTCCTGGCTCTGCTGCTAGTCTGCCAGGTGATCTTGAGCAAGTCATGTCCCCGCCCTGTGCCTCAGTTTCCCCACCTGTAAAATGAAGATAATGATACTGGTTTCCTTTGTAAAGTGCTTTGAGATTCACTGATGAAAAGTACCATTTAGGAGCTAGAATTATTATTATTATTTTCATCATTTGGGCCAGAAGTCTCATGGAAACAGCTGGTGAGAATCTGGTGCCATTTAAGCTAAAACCCAAACCCTGGCCTGAATTTGCCCTTGGATTTAAATCTTAAACTTCACCTTATACCTAAGTGAGGATTCAGACTGGACGTTGACCAGTTCTCGTGATTTTTTTTTATCTTTTCCAATAATTTTAGTCAAAAATGCAAATTTATCATTCATCATTTATTTCTGAAATATTTTCAGGACTTAATTTTAATTATTTTCAGCACTTAATTTTAATTTTAAATAATGTTTTAAAAATCCATCTTGCAACCACTCGGATGAAAAAATTCAGTGTTGAATATTTCTCATGTAAAAAAATATTGGGCAATAAACAAGGAGATAAATGTTTTCCTAAATAACATTGATAAAAATAATTCTAAAAGCTAATGAAACAAGAAATATTTTGCGGTTTTGAAAATTCTTTGCCAAAGTGTTGTTTTAATTTTTCGACCAATCATAAGGGATTCCAGAAAGTGTAGCCAGTATAGCTATGTAAACTGTGCCCTCTACTGGTCATCTCAGTGAAATCAATAGAGGAGGGAAAGCATCGGGCTTGAAAGCCAGTCATTCAGAAGCCGTCCTCCATTTTAAGACAGCAATTTTGCATCTGCAAGTATTTGCAGGTACAACCTGAGGTCAGTTACATGTTTAACCAGAGTACCCAGACGGTGCCCAGAAATCAAACAGCTCGACATGAAAATGGCACACATTGTGCCTGAATTTATTTAAATCTACAAAACTGCAGGCAAAAAATGTGATGGGCCCTTTCAAAATATGGCCCTTTTCCTAGGTCGGAATTAGTATTTAAATAAGGGGAGGAGTCATGATTAAAGTAAATGGTCTGCTCAGAAGAGAGGACTGGTATCAAACTAAACTCTACAGTCTTAAAATGGAGTTAACTTAAATGTGCAACATTTGCAGTGAAATGTTGCTAAGTCATCTCCATTGGAAAGGTGTGGTGTCTATTGCCTGTGGATGTATGTACAATACTACGATAGGTAGAGCATATTACTCTCTCTAACCACAAGGGTCACTGTCCCATCTGTGCAGAAGGTTCAGTAGAGTGATGTAAATGAGAGTGTTTTCATTCCACATGGGGTCGTGCAAACGTTTTTGTGATTTTGGTCCCATATTCTTAGTGAACCAATATTGTAACTCAGACTGAATCTCAGATGAAGCTGCCAGGCTTTCTGCAATTCTGTTCTGTTCAGAGTCATACACCTTGCCCATCACTGTGGTGCCTGAAAGCATTAAGCAGCCCGACTAGCATCTGTTGCGCGTGGTTCTTTCTTTTTGCCTAATTTTCATCCCAAATCATGAATCAGTCTGAGATCACTCAAATTTCAGCTCAAAACTCAGTCCCAGGTTCCTGGAGATTTATCCCCAGTTCTTCAAAAAGTTTGTGACCCTCAGGGAAACTCGGGTTGGTAAGAAACCTGAAATTGGGTGATTTCCCTCGGGGAAGTTTAGGATTCAGGGATTGTAGTAAAGCAAGCCCTTTTTTAAAAGCAAACCCAAGCCACTTTTATTTCCTCTTGTCTTTTTTCCAGTACCAAGAGATGCTCGAGAACTATTTAACAGACTCCATCAAGCTCACTCCTGACGACCAGCCCAAGAAGAAATGCTGCTGAATGAGACATTTGGAGACAGCTGACATCATGTCTCTGAGTCCTCGCTCGGCACCGAAATCGCTGAACCGACTCCATTCACTTCCGGTTTTGTGTTCAGCCACAGGAGATGACCACAGTGATCTGGTTCCACATTGCACAGCCAAGCTGACAAATCTCGTGACATTTACCGAGTGCAGAGAAGAGACCGACCTTTTCTCTAAATGCCTAGATTGGACTAACGCAGCCAGGTGCAGTCGGGACCCTTGTTGCTTCATTAACCTTCTAACCACGCATTTCAAAGCCTTGCACCAGCCTTCTAAACCTGGCTCTGTGCAGTCAGTGCTGAGTCCAGGTGGCCCAGCTACCTTCCCAGGGCTGTGGCTGGCTCAGTGACCTCACTCACCTGCTATCTCTCTGCTCTAGTTACACCTGTTGACACGCAGGCAGGTCACAGTGGATTAGTGGCTCACCCTCTGGCACTTGACCAGGCATTCCCAACACACGCCTGAATTGACAGTGCTAGGCAAGGCAGGGCTGTGCTGTCACTGCCCTGCAGGCTGGGCCTCCCTAGAGAATGTAATCTCAGTCCCCGCTGTTTGAACGCAAAACAGAGACATTTGTTCGCCAGATACCCAGTGTTTAAACTAACACCTTCACAGTCTGCACTTGATATTAAACAGGCGTAAGCTACTTATCCCCAAGGGAGGGAAGGCTGGATGGTCTAGTGCTCAAAGCACAGGCCTGAGAGCCCGGAGCTTCTACATTCTAATCCCAGCACTGACACACATTGCCCTAGGCATAACCTTTCTGTGCCTTAGTTTCTCCCCACCTGTAAAATGGTAGGGGGGGCGTGATAACTCTCCCTCACCCAGAGATGAGGTTGGTTGTAAAGCACTTTGACAATGAGCTGGGCTGTGTTGTTTTATTGGCAGGGTGTTTTTTAAAGGAATACTTTTAAAGGGAGGCAGTGGGGCCTACTGGCTAGAGCACTAGACTGGGTCACAGGAGACCTGGGTCCTATTTCCAGCTCATCCGCTAGTCTGCTGGGTGACCTTTGGTAAGTCACTTCACCTCCCCGTGCCGCAGTAGCCCCATCTGTAAAATGGGGATAATGATGAAACGTGCTAGGTAAGAGCTAGGCATGATTACTATTTTATTAATCACTGAAAAAAGGGAGGCATGGATCAGATTTTGACACAAGCAAGGGGATTGAGCAGAACTCGAAAAGGGAAAGTGAAGGAAAGCGAAACTTTGGGATCTGTGCAGATCTGTGACTGTCCTGCTCAAGTGCCTGGATTTCTATCTCCACCTGGGAATGATGCCCAATTTTCTGCTTTTATTGCCCTGTGGGGTTCGGATTCATCTTTGGGTGTTAAAGACACAAGGGCTGGACTAAGCTGTGCCCGTAATGTGAAACTGACACATGAATTTAGGATTTTCAGTGATCCCAGGACAGGAGTAGTGGGAGGGAAAGCAGCACATTCCTACCTCTCGAAGGTGGTTCGTGGCACTTTTAGTTGGTGGCTGTGAGCAGCAGAAGCAGCTGCCACGTGGAACTTGGCCAACGCTTGCGGAATTGGTGAAACCTGGGTTAACACAGCAGTGAGGCTCACCGGAAGCCAAGCCGCAGGCTGGGGCCAGAGGGCACAGCGGTGTATCAATGCTGTTTCCATGCAGTTTGGCTTTGACTGTGGAAATCTCATCCAGCCATGAAGCCCAGAGGAGCGGTGGACCCCTTCCTGTACACCCTGCCGTGGGCTGTGATCTCTTCGCATACACCCGGATATGGGCTGAGCCATGGGCCAGGATCCCTTCGCGTACACCCTGGCATGGGCCGCGATCCCTTTGCAAACACCCTGACATGGGTCGCGCTGCTGAAGGTCTTTGGCCCAGTGTGCTCAAAGCTACCTTAGAGAAATGTTTCTGCGTTCAGAGATGACCACAAAACCCCTGTTAATTTAAAATCATTCCAGCAAAAGTAAAAAGTTTACTCTGAAATGCTGGGCGTGTGCATCTTCTTTGTGTGTGGCTCTAAATGAGAGGATGTCCTGGGTGGGTTCCCTGGGAGAAGCAAATTTCACAGCAGTCCTGTGCGGGGGAATAAGGCAAGCTGGACTGGCACTTCCTCGGAGCGTTTAGTCCAGCTCTGAAGTGTCAGTGTTGGTGGAGAAGTAGATCCTACTGGAGGGGTGGGGAATCCCCTTCTTCCACCCCCAGGAGCTGCAAGGATCCGTTTCTGAAGCCCCTCAATCTTTGCTGCAGAACTTCTTTTGGTTTCACATTTCAAACGTGTCTAGCTCCTGCCTCTCTCTCTGAACCGGGAGTCACATAAGCCATAGGCCTGGAAGAACCTCCTGGGTCCTGGAGTCCAGTCTCGGGCTGTCTCAAGCCACCGTGACGCACAATCCTATTGTTGTTATTATTTGTATTCCAGCAGCCCCTAGAGACCAGGTCCCAGAAGGCGCTGCGCCAGGCACTGTACAAACATCTAACAGAGTCCTTGCACCGGAAAGCTTATGATCTAAATGAGTTCCGAGCCCCTCCTGAAGATCACAATGACATTCCTGAGAAATTCCAGGATTTTTCTCTGGGACCATTGCTATTTTCCCAGCAGAAATTTCTTTGCCCAAACACCAGTTTTGCAAAGCACAGACAACAGCAAATGGGGATGGAAGGAGTTTGGAATGGACGTAAGGGTCTAACTGATCACCATATTTGGGGTCAGGAAGGAATTTTCCCTCAGGTCAGATTGTCAGCCAGAGATCCAGAGTCGTCCCCCCTGCTCCTCCCCCTCCCGGTCATCTGCAGCCTGGGGCATGGGTCACTTGCTAGTTTGAACTAGAGTAAATGGTGGAATCTCTATAGCTTGAAGTCTTAAAATGTATGAAAGATCTGTATATGGGCCTGTCATTCTGCCTTTGGGCACAAGAGGTCGTCAGTACAGTGTGAAGAAAACTTCTATTGTATAGCCTCCATACCAGCTTTGTAGAATCACAGAAATGTAGGATTGGAAGGGACCTCGAGAGGTCATCTACCATTGTCCTGCACTGAGCAGGGCTAAGTATTCCCTAGACCAGGGATCCGCAACCTTTCAGAAGTAGCGTGCCAAGTCTTCATTTATTCATTCTGATTTAAGGTTTCGTGTGCCAGTAATACATGTTAACATTTTTAGAAGGTCTCGTTCTATGTCTTTAATATATAACTAAACTATTGTTGTATGTAAAGTAAATAAGGTTTTAAAACTGTTTAAGAAGCTTCATTTAAAATTAAATTAAAATGCAGAGGCCCTCGGACCGGTGGCCAGGACCCGGGCAGTGTGAGTGCCACTGAAAATCAGCTCACATGCTGCCTTTGGCACGCATGCCATAGGTTGCCTACCCCTGCCCTAGACTGTCCCAGACATGTGTTTGTGCAACCTGTTCTTAAAAACTTCTAATGCAGAGGTGGCCAACCTGAGCCTGAGAAGGAGCCAGAATTTATCAATGTACATTGCCAAAGAGACACAGTAATACGTCAGCAGCCCCCCATCAGCTCCCCCACCCACTGGCAGCCCCGCCGATCAGCACCTCCCCCTCCCTGCCCACACCTCCCAATCAGCTCTTTCGTGGCATGCAGGAGGCTCTGGGGGGAGGGGGAGGACCGAGGGCATGGCAGGCTCAGGGGAGGGGGTGGGAAGGGGTGGAGTGGGGGCAGGGCCTGTGGCAGAGCCAGGGGTTGAGCAGTGAGCACCTCCTGGCACATTGGAAAGTTGGCGCCTGTAGCTCCAGCCCCGGAGTCGGTGCCTATACAAGGAGCCGCATATTAACTTCTGAAAAGCTGCATGTGGCTCTGGAGCCATAGGTTGGCCACCCCTGTTCTAATGATAGAGATTCCACAACTTCCCAGGACCTTCATACCTTATACTTTTTCATAAACGTCCTTAATTGCAAATTCATTCCTACCCAATACATACTCTCTTTGGCTCACCTTAAGCAACCTTCAATTCCCAGAATTGTGACAAAGGAACTCTGTGCATAATCTCATTCCTAAAATCTGCCTGAATAACTGCTCTTTCTCCCTGAAATATAATGCCATTCTGTACACACAAACTGTCTCTTTTCTGAAAGAATGGTGTTATCTCGTTAGGTAATTGGTATTTTGTCGCTGGCCATCGTTGTAGGATTATGCATTTCAATGTCTACAGCATTCTGTCTTGCTCTGTACCTCTGTATTTCTCTCAGCCTTTCTTCTGAGATAGGTAAGTCCTGTACCATATTTATTGTCTCCACCTCTGGCCCTTCCTTGTTGGGTTCTGGCAGGTATCCAAGGCTTAAGATGTCTACCAACACCTAATCTTTCCCTGGGCAATACTTGATCTATACGGTGTACCTCTGCAGTCAGATCATCATCTGCTGTAAGTGCTTTGGGGCACTGCGTAATGGCTTTCTCCAAATGCCTTTGAGAGGTTTATGGTCAGATTGTATGTCCATGGTGAGACCATAGCTGGATTGGTGAATTTTTTCCATTCCAAAGAGTATTGCTAATACCTCTTTTTCAATTTGAACATGGCCCTTCTCTGTCACGGACAATGCTTTGCTTGCAAATGAAACAGGTAACCCCCTTGCAACATGGTAGCCCCCAGGCCCTAATCAGCTATATCGCATTGCAGTATTAGGAGCTCCTCTGTGTTGCAATATTTCAAAATAGGAGCCTTCCCAGTCATCTCTTTTACTTTCCTGAATGTTTGCTCATGTTGGTCCTTCCACGGCCATAAGATGTCTCGATGTATCAGCTGTCTCAAGATCTCTCATTTCTCAGACAGATTGTTGCAAAACTGTGCTAAATAATTGATCATTCCCATGAATATCTGGACTCCTTTAACATCACTGGGTCTTGGCATTTCTCTGTCCTCACTTTCTCTGGATCTACTTTCAGTCCTTTGGAGATCAACATATATCCACCGTATGGCACCTTGGTTACTTTCAACCTGAGCTTGTCTAAGTTCAATTTAATATTCTTCTTTCTGCATCTCTGAAAAAACTGTAGTAATTTGTAGTCATGATCTTGTTGTGCTTGTTCTGTTTTATCACCCTCTCACACTATCAGCACATCATCTGCTATTTTCCGCATTCCCGTCAGGCCCTTTAACGCTTGGTCAATCTGCTCTGGAATAGCTCTGATTCCAGACTGATTCCCACTGCATCCTTACTCATCAGTATCTCCCAAGTGGAGTCGTGATGGCTGTCAAGTAACTGGAATCTTCATCCAATCCGACAAGCCAGAATTAATTTTTTCCATTGAACACTGTAATAACTCTTGCTTTAGACAGATCTGGTAATATGTCCTCAATTGTAGGCAGAAGGAAATGGTTCCATTTCAAAGCTTTCTCTAAAGCAGAAGGGAGCAAATTACCGCCCGAAGCCCCATCCGGCCCGCAGGACCTTCCCTCTGGTCCCCGAGCTCCTGCCAGGGAATGGGGTCAGGACAGGCTTGCGGAGGAGCCAGCCCAACTCCCTGGCAGCACGGTGAGCGGGGCAGAGGCTAGCCCCTACCCCCCCGCCTCCGCCTCCCTCGCAGTCACAGTGCCTGGGCAGTGTGGCTGCAACTCCGGCCGGGCGGCACACTATAGCGCCACCAGACCTGGTGCTCCAGGGTGGTGCGGTCAGGGGGTGGGGATCTGGGGGAGTTCCAGGGGGGGGTTGCAGGGGGGCGGTCAAGGGGCCTGGGCCCTGCTGCTGGGGACAGGGGAAGAGCAAGCCAGGGCCCCCCTCCACCCCCAGCATGTTTGGCCCCTGTCCCCAGCAGCCGAGCCCAGACAGGGAGCGAGCCCTGCCCGACTGCCAGGGAAAGCAGCCAAACGAGCAGGGGAAATGCACAGGGAAAGGACTGAGCCCCTCTTTCCCCCACCCCATAGATAGCATGGGGCAGGGAAAGCAGGGAGGGTTGGATAGGGGGCGGGGCCCCCAGGGGGCAGTCAGGGTGTGGGGAGCAGGGGAGATTGGATAGGGGCGGGGGTCCCAGGG